GGTACGCATTTGTGGATAGTCTCATTCTAGGACAAAACAGCTGTCCAGTGCTTGCTTATTTTCAGCAATTGCCTAAGTCCTCGGTATAAAATAAGAATCGAATAATTTCTAGAAATCCCCCCATACCAATATATATAATCGTAGTTCAAGAATGTGACGATATGATTATTTAACTATGATCGGGTCACCCCATACATAAACCAAATATTATAAACACTTGTCCTCATCCCGTTACCTTGTTTTTAATTTGCATATTCATCGTTCTCAATCCACATAAATGTCGTATAATGACTACCCTGAAAACATTTCTCTTATTACACATTATACACACACGACTTTATTGATATTACTATCCCAATGAACCTGACATAACACTTCTCCCATTATGCGTTATATTCACATTGTTTGTTTTATTAGAGTTTTGTAATTAGAAGCCTTACAATGAATTTTTCTATCTTTTTGTTAAATGGCCTATCAAATCTACAAAGGACGCAATTTGGACGTGTTTAAGTCGTAATTGATGCAAAGTTTACTACTGCAACCTCTGACATTTTCCACTTCACTTATTAATGTATACCTTCTTTTAAATTCACAACTGTAGAGCTCCTGATGATGAGCTATTGTAAACATTGGTTCACTAAAATATCCCTTATTTTTGAATACTCAATGGATTTGTTTAAACGATTATATGGAAATCTCAAACCTACCCTATATGTATGTATGTCTGCATGTTGCAGGTTCTTACACACAATATCTGTCTAATAAACAGAGTACACCAAATGTTTATTACCGTCTTGAATAAATGCTTCCACTTAGTTTATCACCAATTTGTATTCTTCTATTCTAAATGGCATTATCATTAAATAAAACCTTCTGTAAACAAATTAAAATCAGATAACAAACTAAGTAGTAGTATAGTAAGATAAAAGTTCATTGTGACAGATGTAAAACAAAAAACAATTAGGTATTTTAGGAAATGTTTCTAAACTAACTAAAGATAAGTAGTAGAGATATATATTCTAGTTCATGATCTATTGAACAATCTAACATGAACAATTCAGCTTTTACTTTTCACAATAACGTTGTTGTTATATGTTGTACTGGAATCAGATTTTTGGACAGTAAATATATGGCAGTAATAAATGTCAAGTTCAATCAGTTATTTGCTTAGTGGGTCACTATCACAATTATGATTATTAATAGTAGTAGTAGTAGTATTTTAGAGAGGGAAAAAACTGATAAAGAAGGGACGGAACCAAACTAAAATATGAAAAATGTTCTAGCTGACCTATTTACTATGCACACACGTAACCATACAGATGAGAAAAAAAATGTTCGAAAGACACAATTAAAATAAAGCATAGTTATTTAAAGTATTTTGTAACAATTCATATAGGTAGGTAGGTAGCTTATGGAAATGTTCCGATAAGTTAAACTAGAGGACGGACAATAGGACCGAGAAAAAGAGCGAACAAGTGATTCAGCCAAGGGATCTATTTTTAGTCACTATCATTCTTGAACCACTCTTTGTATTGAGTTCCTGAGACATTTGTGTATAAATTTTTTAACTCCGTTTAGAGCCATTTAATAAATAAGAGTAACGTTTTTTATTCATTTTTGTTTCTTCGGTACTATATTGAGAATTCATTCCATATCCGGTGTAACAGTTATCCGCCTGCGACTGTACAGCCTAAAAAGAGATCTCTTCACTGAAATATCACTATCTTTTTTTACGTTCTAATTAGTGTTCCCTGTTTAATGAAAAGTGTCGAATTTCAAGTAGAATGTGACAAGTAAATAAAACTGAAAAAAATATCTATTTAGGTTACATGCGAACAACAATTTAAAAGCATTATATCATACATTATAATGATAAAAATGTGGAAATTTGTTACCTAATGATTATAAATATTGATAAAAACATCTCTAAGATATATTCGTGTAAGATATACGACATTATTAAAAGAACTGTACTGTTTCACATTTTTGTCGCTTAAGAAGCGATTGACTCACCCCTAAAACATCTCCATAAATCTCCATTCTGATATATTTATGTACCCAGAACTCCCTAACAGGACGGTAACTAATGCTAACACAATATAATTAATACGATACCACAAAAGAACAAGTATAAAAATTCGAGTGGAACAACATGAATTCATTTTATTTCGTCAGACTGTCTTCAGCTACTCACAATATGTAATGTTTCAAAAAAAAAATTAAAATTACAAAGCGAGTTAAAAATATTAATACAAATGAATTTGTTCGGAATTTGTTTTAAATAAATATCAGCATAGTATAATTAAGATTTAAGCAGATTTGGGAGGCTAAATAATTGTATAACAAATAAATTTATCACAAGGGGTTTTGTGGAGATTGTAGTAATTTAAACAGTTGAGATCATGAGTCAATTGAAGCTAGACCACCATGGAAAACCTGGAAGTACTGGACGGCCGTTTCGTCCTATTATGGGACTTCCCAGCAGTGCGCATTCACGACTTCGCCTCGCGGGATTCGAACCCGGGACCTTCGGTCTCGCGCTCAAATCTTTGTTCCTGTCCTCTTCAAGATAATAAAGGGAACTATGTGTATTATGGTACGATACTATAGACTAAATTCTGATAAAATATTTATTTAATCGAAATATCACTCTTTGATTCTGAAAATATCATCGAAATGCCCTAATTATGTAACTTAGGTGTTTCATTTTTCTCACAGCATACACTTAACATAGTTCTTGTAAACAAATTGGATGTTTAAGATTCTTGGATGTGCATTGTAAATAATTATTTTGTACAATTCTTACGAGGTTAACATAGAGCTGCATGTTTTTACACAATATACGGAGCTGTTATTAATATTATTATTATTTATAACTGATGCTTACATGCGTACTACTTACAGAGTTCCACTTACAATATAATACTAGTTTACCAATAATTTGTTGTATTCTTATTCTGTCCGTTTAATTGTTTTCAATCAACTTTATACTGGTAAACTGTACTTTTCCATCAATGATTCACCTTAACCATTTACTGGTATTATTATTATTATATGTAGTACATTCAGACTTGATTATTGATCATTATAGTACGATAATAATAATATTATTAGTCTATGGATTATGTATGGCCTATATATTGCATCAGACTTCTGCACAAAACAATCTTGAATATTGATTTGCACTAAATTATGAATCTGAATGAAACCAATATAATTTGATGTTATTAAAAACATCATTATATACGCATCAATCATATTGCTCCATAATGTCACTATTATAGTCAATACTCGTTATATTGTCCTTTCATTAAAAAATATGTGTAATAATGATATTAGTAATAATAATAAAATTTACTGAATAATATGTCAAACTATTTTTCATCATCCGAACTTTGGTCTTTCTCTGTCGTGATATAAGTTTTTTGTTCTATGTGGAAGCTTAGTTTAAATAATGTGATATATTTATCCACTAATCAACTAATTGTACATATCTCATTCCTGCAAGAGGTTAGTCTTAGTCTAAACCAAATACCACAGTCGTAACATATCAGACTTTGAAACCGGGCAACGCATGTGTAAATCCATCAGGGAGTGTAGGTTCCCTAAACATTGTAGGTGTATTTTACTGATAAATTATAACTAACACGAGACCTAAGTTGAGCAGGGTTTCCTGCCTATCACCTCCAGCCACCTAACACAGTGATATATCTCTAGCACAGACGAAAATAGAGTTGTGGCAATCTTTAAACCCGATATCGATTGAGGAGTACTGTTAAGTAATATGGAGGAGGTCGCAGTAAATAAATGTTTCGTACTAGATTTCGGGGATTCCTTTGTGTGTTTTGGGAACCCAAGATAGTAGCGGGAACCAAACTCACAGTCTCATGCTTTTGGTTTTGCGGATACTATCCCTTTATATAACTGAGTCCAAATTCAATAGATTAACATTTTCGAATTTATTGTTATGCTATGATATATTTTAACTAGTTAATCAGTTCTTCCAATAAGTTGTTTAGTGTAAAATGAAGAAAATTCGTTTTTTTTTAACAAATATTCTTTAAACTGAAATTTTTAGCTGTAGGAACGATGGTTTAAATACTGTTTTATTTCAATCCGAAACAAGGCATGTGTAATAAAACAGTATGAACCGATCCTTCATGTAAGATTTTACTTTTGTCGAATTCTTAATAACATTTAAATTGCCTAGTGTTTTATTCAATGTAAACAGTGATTTAATCGTAAAAGCACATGGTTTTTAACCACAGAGTTGTAGATTCAGATCTCATCCCTGTGTTCTTGATTCGAATAGATGCATAGCATCATCAGCCTTTATACAATGAGTATGGTTTGTAACTGAATGTTCAAACTTGTACTTGGTCACTAAGTTGTAAAACTTAAAGGTTTATTCACCAACCTTCCTACCCAGTTACAACAAGAATGAATTATACTAACTTTTTTTGTAACTTTAATATGATTAAAGTAACATAGTACTAGCTAACTTTTATCCACTGAATTCATACATTACCAACCATACTACCTATTAATTAAACTGTTGCAGGGTGCCATCATCTGATAGGATAAGTAACTGTAAGAATATCACGATGGTTCACATTTCTAACTTTAGTCTATTTCCTCGTACCATGAATGTCTTAGAAGCTCGAATCTTTGTTACTGTTTCATAGCTTCAAACTGTTATGGTCTTTATTAGTTGTTCAATCGACTGGTCAGTTGATAGTGAAAACTAATTAAACTTACCTCTTTCAGCAATGTGTGTTTAAAATTCCAATGAAAGTAACGCTTCCATTGATATTTCAACTCTCTTCACTAAGCTCTTGTGCTAAGTGGATTGTTAGTGCTGAATTACTAACTATCTAGGTAATTAATCGGTTTTTTTCATAATAAGTCTTGGTTTGTATTGCTAATTTTGTATGTCTAATAAAATTCTTTTCATGATATATATATATATATATATATATATATATAATTTATTTTTGTAGGAGTTCATCATCAGATCCGATTCGCTCTATCCCCGTACAATATTGTGAATCTTCAATGAAAACCGGTTTAGGTTTGATGTATGTGTATAAATTCCTGAATATACCATTTTTATGTCTACAACGTGATGTACTGCAATATCAATTGAAACGTAATTATGACGAAATGATTCATGTTTTATATGAGTTAAGTCCAAAAACTGATAATCAGACACCAGAACAACGGTAAGTGTTAGTTTTTATTCTTTTGATCGAGTAATATGATTTTCTCTGTCAGCCTCAGTCAAGTAGTTATACACAATATAGTTTTTAACATATGTATACATCGGTTCAAGTTGCCACAACACATCGAAAAACTCGAGTAATATAAGTAGTATTAGTATCAGTGATAGTAGCCAAGATTAGGTATAGAAGATATAGTTCGAGAAGTAGGCAGTCGTCAAATATATGTAGTGTATATAGCAACCGCCTCGTTCGGTGAAGATTCATTTACTCATCAACCAATTCTCCATCCCTACCTAGTAGTACCCTGGGTCTAACCTGCTCATTCTGTGATCCCAAACATATACAAGCAGTGCGTCGAAGGCATCTGTAGCCAATATATTCGTAATCTACGAATATCCTCTATTTTGAAGACCACAAGCTCATCTGTTTTTCTCAGTATAGTAATATGATTTCAAGGGAATCTTGAGAAAAATACCTTCAACTTCTTTAATATGTTTTATCTTCTTACGGTATTTCAATATCATTTAGTTAGTCAATTATAAATAACTTGTCAGAGTATACGTAGTAGATATCCACCGCAATCAATGGAAATTGAAAACCATTACCTAGTATCGTACAACCAACCTCAGCATTTCTCACTTAAGGCGAACAATAGTTCGGAGGTACCTGTGATCAAAAACATGAAACCTACGTATGGTTATTACTTTCTTAAGCTATGTTTAACAGCCTTTGAGCATTGTAAAGCAGTTTCTTTAAAATATTTTAACTATTAACTTCATGAAGCAAATTATGCAACGTAACGGTATTTGATATTAAGTGGTTAGAAGTAGTCGGGAAGAAATCCTACTCGACCAAGGTTTCATTATAGTTGTCACTAGTCAATAACTTTTTACCAACCAAATGAAAAACAATACAATAGTCAATATCAACAACACTGTTTTCAGTACTATGTACGCTTACATTTACATTTTAATAGATTGCTATTAATACTAGGTGTCGACAATACAAACACATACGTACATATACACTATCCTAAATTAGAGGTATTGTTGTGTTTTGTTTTTCCACTTTTGAAATTTCACTAAACACATTGAACGTTTAAAAAAAAGGAGGAATAAGGTGAACAATTTCAATAGAGTTTAATAAAATCAATTTTCTTATTGTTGTTGTTTTATTCTTCAAACAAAAAAAACACTTGACGTACATACACAAGTAAATTAAAGAAATTTAGCCCCGTTCGTTTGTTTTGTTTTTTTACTTCACCTTTCTATGTTTATTTTCTTTCGAAATTGTGTATATGTATATTATGTATGTATGTATGTATGTATGTGACTTCACTTTCTTTATTCAGTTTTTTTTCCTAAATAGACAGGAAATCGTCTATTATGAAACGAGAAAGCAATAATATTTTTTTCTCTATAAAATACGCCAACTAACTACCACAGTTGCAATCTCCCTATTTCTTCCCATTTACGAACGAATTCATAAATCATCATAATTTTGCTTATAAAAGCTGGTTATACTGAATTCTAGATGGCAATATCTTAATAATTGTTTTGTATGGTGTAACGTCCTATTCTTTAATTGATGCGTAGATTGGGAAAATGAATTTCTATCACAGATTAACCATCAAAAACCGGGGTGCTACTAGATAAGTCCGTTATTATTATTTGGAACTTTAGCAGTACGGGTTCATGACTCTCTGAGACGAATCGAGCTCAGTATTACCATCAGGCCTCAAAAGGTGAATGCATTATCATTAGACCATAGAATTGAATTTACTTGATCCTAATGTATGGACTAGTTTGCTCATTAGTTTCTCCTAGTCTGCTATGAGTCTTTTAGGGGCAGTCAAATCACGAAATGGAACGAGTCCATAAGGTCATTGACTATTGATCTGAGCCATGTTGGTTGGTGGAGGCTATCTGGTTGGGGTTCGCTTGATTATCGTAGACAATTTTATTTATTTAAGCATATAAACACTGGTACAATGAGTCACCAGATATATGTGTGCCACTCAAGCATTCGACTTATTTGAGGGTTGTGGTACCACTCGGGCACCCTAACCGAAACAGGAGGTTTCCCTAGAGAGCTACTCCTCAAACGTCGACCCATAGGTCTAATCCATAAGGCAGTGGTGTAATACCTAGGAAATGAAGTCTCATGGTAGACGGTGACCATGAATAGGTTCATACTCCTTTTTTTTTTCAGGATCATGGAGCTCTTATGCACCACTGATTTAGAATCAGGGTTCCCAACTCCCCTAGATAGACCCTTCGTATCCGCCAATCCTATTAAAGCGCCGGACAATCACTTTTCGTCCTCTCAATTTCTTAAGCAACAGTAATGCCACGAGAAGGCAGTGAGTAGAACCTCCCTAACAGTGGCTATATACGCGCGTGAGAGCATTTGGAGAGGGAGAGCGGACTCTCTCTACCCTCAACCGTACTAGGGTATTTGGTGGCTATCCAACGGTTGGAGACTGTAGATGACATGTTTGAAAGTCTGTCGCGATGGCGCAGACGTATTCACTTTCTGTCTGCTCCTACATCTTATACTTTTCTGTTCCATAATTTCATTCTGTCTTCTCAAACCATATTTTTTATGCCTAATCTTTTCTATTATTATCAATACTGTTATCACTGTCTTGATAATTTCATATCTATTTTACTGAGATAGTATGACAACTCAAACTGATAAAAATATTTGTTCGCGCTCTATTTTTATTTTAACTGATTAAGTTTATGTAAATAATTTAATAGGTTTGACCTATTGTTAATATTTAATTAAATATTGTACATTCTTCCTGTTCTTTTGTTTTACTGTTACTAAAAGTATTATTAAGATAATACTGATAGACAGGTGTACTGAAGTTACTTTCTTTTCATATATATATATATATATATATATATATATATATATATATATATAATGGTGTTTTAATTAATATAAGTATTCAATTGTCAAACACTCTATACTATGGTGACATTTGATGATTGTATATAATAAGTGTTTAAAATCAATTGATTGAGCATTATTGATTAAAGTTAACTATCTTAGATTTAACTGACTTTTTGTATTTCAACATGCCTGTTACGATTCTATCTATCATGCATAATGAATAAATCAACATTTTTATTATTTGGTTGTGAGTTATCATAGAATTTAAGACATAGTTCGTTTAAATATCAGGAAGTTGCACGTTTTCTGATTCAAACTCTAGATATTCTTCAGTGAGTATACTATATTCTAATCCCGTCTGATCTGCCCTATGCTTTTGAGTTATAATCTTTGAAGATAAACTGACTGAATTTTGAATATCTTCTAAGTACTGATTCAGCATGATACAACTTATAAGTGAGCAACTTCTAACGTTAGATCCAAATTTCTATATAGTAAATAACTTTGTAAATCTACACTATTCAAAGACTAAAATATGTGTTATACATGTAAAATAACTAACAACCAGCATAAATATACTTAAGTAGATTACGACAAATGATATCAATCTATCAAGTCATTAAATGTCGACCTTAGTTAGGTTAAGTGGTACACCTCTCTTAAATGGGGAGTCTCAGTTAGTATGTTATGTAACATTAGTATAGGTTGATAATTATAAGTGGATTTTACAGTTTAACCAATAGAGCTTGTTTGAATTCAGTCTTTCTTGTATTAGTTTTTTTTTAAATTTTAGTATGGTTAATTATTGTGTTCACTTTCATGAAATATTGGTAGAAGTAGATATATATAAGAAAGTATTTTATTTTATCAGTTTTAGTTATATCGATTCTGGTCAGAAGAGAACAACTGATGAATCGTCATCATCACGAACGTGTTCTTCTTCTTTTTCTGTGATAAAAGAGAATGGCAAGTTAATCACATTTTGATTAGAAAAAAAGTAGTATATTCCATATTGTCTTTTAAATAGACTATCAACTATTCTATCTGATTCTTTACTGCCTGTATCTTTGTTATTCTTTGCTTGTAATAAGTGTCATTTGTATGTTCAACTAGAATTTTGACTCTCATGACGTCATAGTTCATTAAATGCGTATTGTTACGTAGTTTCCTATTGGGTTTTAATTTTTGTAATCACTAACACTATTCCCTACTCTTCCTATAGGTCATTCCAAATTACTTGTTTCTTTTTCATTGCAGTACGACATAAATGATAACTATTCGATTAGTTAATTTGAAATTCAACGACGTAGAAATATTAATTCAAGCCAATTCATAGATTGCATTAAAGTTCAGATGGATGATTTTAATAGAGTTTGTTCTCTGAGCTGGACGGTATGGTGGTAGAGCTTTCATCGTTCTTCTGAACGACATCATCAGCACGAAATTCAGGTCGAAGTGAACTGCTCGAATTCCTCCACATCTGACTCATAGCTTATCCTGTAGACCTCGATGTTGATTGATTCTTGTTGACCTTAAACTTGTCTTTGTTTACTTCTTTATTTTCGTTGTATCTCCCATTGGTTTGATTTTTGGTCCTATGTTTGTCCATAATTTCTCTGATTGGTTGATAAATTAGATCGATTTCAATGTGCTTGATTGATTGTATTGATTTTGTTGGTTTGTGTGCTACACCTATTCCGAAAGGCTTCAACAATCTCGTAGTTTCTGATATGCCTTTTATATATATGGTAGGGTGATCCGTTTGTTGCTTCCTGTACTTGACTTCGTTTCTGATGATGCGTTTGGTTTGTGTTTTTTGATGAATTTGATTGGGTAGCCGTTCTTTTGAAAGATGGTCTTCAGGTATTTTTCTTCACTTTTTTCGTGCTGCAAGTGTGTTGCATTGTGTCCTCGCCCTCTTGAACAAAGTTTGTACGCAGTTGATTTTGTGAGTGCTTGGGCAGTTGCTACTTCAATTGAGAATTTGATCTGTGTCGGTCGGCTTCCGATATACTTGAACGAAACACTCATCTTGGATTCCACCGCTAGCCGCTATCCAAATCTGCTTATAAACACAAGTGTACATCATTGTAAAACTCGTATAAAGGTGCTTAGGTTCAAATCGCCGGTCGTACATAGTGTAAACATAAAAGACTATATACAAGAACAATAAAACATAAAATTCTCAAGTGAAGAAAAGAATATGTATAAAATGAGAGTTATAAAAGGTCTTCAAAACTTCAATCTAAGATAAGCGAATTTAGATTCACATCGTTATATGATCGGTTCTGTGTTATATCACCTCGGATTTCCAACCACTAGTACGACTAAAATAAGCAGTTACTCATAACTGAGTGGACTAGCTTAACTTTATCAACTTAGTCCTACATAGCAAATTTATGCTAATTCACTTACTAGATATTTGGTTATGAGCCACACTCTGAGTAATTAATAAAGACTAATAACACTTCCCCGTTGCCCAAACTGAAGTATATGCAATGAGTTTCGAACCAGGGACGTAGCGGCTGAATACTTCAACCATTAAGTACCCACTGCTCCTACATACCGAATGTTTTTTAATCATCCCATATTCTTAAAAACTCTATGAAAGGAACAATTTATGATATTATTTTTAACAATAACTACCATTGAGTAGTAGTATTAGTAATACACTTTCTGTGGTGATCTTTGAGTGATTTATTCTTCTCTATTAATCAACTCCTCTACCGGGTATAGATTCGTGTATCTGACTACTAGTGAAGGTTGGTGATACTATACTTAGTTATCCGAACTGAAGTTAGTGAGGCGGGGCTTTAAACTATGTTTTACTAGTTGAAAATAGAACACTAACTACTGAGGCATCACTCCACGACTTATTCTTTTACAAATAATATCCAGTTTTAAAGTAAATGAATATGTTTATGAAGTGAAATCTTTAATTTTTAAAATGATAATTTATTTGCCACAGTATTAACTTGATATGTATAGCAGTTTAATTATGTCTAAGAGTCAGGCAACATATTGAATAACTGTTTCTTTCTGTCACATAAATTTATGCAACTTATATAAATAAGGAATGAGAGTGATTATTTTATCGCCTCAAATTCAATGTATCAATCTACAAAAGATTTATCATTTGTTTCAAAGGATTTCTATAATGAGTAATGTTCATATGAATCCAATTAAAAGTGTTGAATATTGTTAATAATAGAATAGATGGATTATTAATAATAGGACAAGTGTTTCGTTTTATTTGGAACTCGTCAACTGGATGTACATCTTTTCCAGTGTTGATGTTCACACCGGGACTCAAATCTGTTATTGTTGACTTCAAATACCTAACACTTTATTCATGTAGCTACTGAGTTGACTAAATTTTACAACAAGTGTAATATTGTTGTCATTATTAGTAATAATAAAATCTGAATGTAGTAAATACAATGAATTTTTAAACTTATTATATTATTTACAACCTATTATCCTGATGCAAATTACCTAAGTGTTCAATTGTAGTAGGAAGTATCTACAAAATCTTTTTTTTTCTAAAGATTTCACAACGTCAACTGCACTAAACCATAATTTTTTTTAAAAACAAGGTTCTGTTTCTTCTTATTGATGAAAACAATGTTGTTGTTGTTGTTTGTTTTTTTTTAGTTGTAAACTTTCCAATTAAATTGACTGAATCAAATAGGACAACAGTAATCTCTTTCAACCCATCCAATATGAATAATGAAGATAATTTTGATGATAATCAGAGTAATGTTTATATGAAAAGAGATGAATACAAGACTAATGAAATCAATGAACAGTAAGTTTATTTCTTTACTTCTCTTTTCTTTTTCTGTATTAAAGAAAGAAAGGAAGAGAAATAATAATAATAATGACAATATAAATACTAGACGTAATTCCTGATTAACATTAACAAGAGATTCACATCAACGGAGGCTAAGGGCATAAATCATCCTACTTTGAGCGACTAAGTCATGGGTTCTAATCCCCTTCACCTACTTCAATTTAGGCAACCGGGCAATATCACTTAGAGTCTAACTCAAAATCAAGTACACTAATCTCCACGTGGTAAATGTGTTACGCTGATTCATTAAAGTATCGTTTCAGAAAGATATCTACAAATGATCATTTGAGCTGTACGTATATGTGTCGAGAACGAGTGATTTTGATGATGTAAAAGTTTAGATGACAGCTTTATTTAGTAGCTGAAAAAAAAATTAAAGCAGTACGTCTCAGAATGTGTTTTTTAATGGGATCATATATAGATTCATTTCATTCTAGTTATTAGTATATATATATATATATATTCTACAGATAAATATTGATTTTCTTGGAGAAGAAAACATCGTCCTATAATGTCAGCTTTTTTCGTCTCTCGCAGTAGTCGCTTTCTGTTTGTCACTCTGTATAAACTTTGAACATTACATGTGTGATAACAATGTACCATGATGACGGTTGTGCAGCATCGCGGACTGATTGAAGTTAGAAATATAAACTATTGGATCTGAACTCAGTGGTTTGAATGTTAGGCGCTCAGCTTAATGTCTGAAGGTCCTGAGTTCTATCCTCAGTTGGATCATATATACTGTTCATTGAAATATATTTAGAAATTAATCAATAAAATCGAAAAATATGAAGTATGAGGAGATACTTAACTTATGACTCAGTAGAAAGCAAAATACGAATGCACCTGTAATACTCTGATTGATTTCGTACGGAATAGTATTCAACTTTTCTAACCATAGGATATGTGACCATTACTCCTGGACGTCTTTTAATCAACATTGGCCACCTGTATAGGTAGTTATTCGGAGACACAAATAACTAGTAAAGTGACCGAACTAATAGCTTACTTATAAAACCAATAAAACTATCACCAAGACATACAAAATGTTCTCACAAGTGTCAGATAACAATGAAAGAACAAAAGTTAAACATTAAAACTTTTAACCTATACTTCTGTAACTCTACTTATCGTCATAGTGATTCACGACTAATGAGTAAAATGATTCACGTCCGACCAACTAGCTTATTTCAACTCAAGGATTGTATAGGTCTGATGGATCTAAATTTTCATCCATCGCCTCCTTAAGGTTTGAAATATCACTTGTTGACTAGTATCGGTAAGCTGAAAACTTCTTGATTCTCCCCTTGGTTATATTTAATCGGTCATCTTTAAATTGATATAACTTCTGTTGAACAGCTAGCAGCGGTTGAATACTTTGTATGAGATGGCTCAGACTTGTTCACAAATGTGTCTTCTTCTCTGTTGCGAATTCCAGTAAACCATTCATAAATACCTTTCTACCCTGTCCTTTCAAACCATATTCTAAAGGTTTGGTTTTTCCTATTATTGGGACTACATTATTTCAATCTCTTTTACGATATTCGTCTTGTTGTGCTGACTCAATGATATGGAAACTGTTCTGTTCTACTCCCAATGCTGATGATGCTTGTCTCTGTCTATCCATAATAAGAACAAATAATTAACCAACAATTAGAAAGAAAAAAAAGCAATCAAACAACCCAATTTTACATATGTTTACTAATCAAATTGCGCACTACATTTTATTTGTTTCCAAAAATTTACCAGTTGTTTATTCTGTATAACTTATTTGTATATACATACGTATTATTTTTGTCTCAAGGTTGAAACAGAATCCAATGGTGATAGCATTCAGTGAAGAAATTGATCCTGCCGATAATGAAATATATTATTTTAATAACAATACTATTAGTATTACTAATAATAATCATTCAGAATCACCTACGGGATCGTATGCAACGTTTACTCCGAGTAGTGATAATGACAATAATGTTTTTAATATTAATGATGATAATTTACATTTCGAAAATAATAAAAAATTATCCCATGAAATAATGGATGAATTACAGTTGAAGTTACGCTTAGAACAAGTATGAAAACGGTGTTTTATGATAAAAGTTTTCTGTCTATCTCCTTCATCTATTCAACGTTTGGTTTAGTAACCAACTTTTTTAAAAATTTAGACTAAATTAATGCATTCCAATTAGTGCTAACGAAATAGACAGAACGATATTGATTAGTATCATACTTACATTACATATTGATTATTATCGATAGACACAGTTATTTTATTTTTATTTATTTGAACACATAGATATTTGTACAAAGAGGCACCAAATAAATATGCGCCACACAAATCTCATTTGATTTGTGTGAGGGCTGTGATACTGCCCGGGTGCCCAAACCGAATCAGGCACAGTGAAATGCTACGTGTAAGGCTAGAATGATTCATGGGCATAATTCTTTATCGAAAGAGCTAAATAATGTTCAAATTATTGTACTCGGCTTCGAACCACATTCTGAGTGTGAGGGCTGTTGAACTACTTGGTTACACAGCCTGAAACAGATAGAACGGGGTTCGAACCCTCGACTTGGTGATTGAAAGCCAAATGTCTTAGTATTAAGTCACCACTTCTACTCTCATTAATTTATTAGAACTAAATCATTTTCAGACATCGTTTAGCGTTTGTTTGCTTGATGATCTGCTTTGCTAACTGTTGTCACATTTAGTCATTTGTTTCCGTGGAATCTATTCAATTGATATTTCCACTGCATACATATTTTCAACTTTTATTCAATTGCGCTGATATTATTTTTACCTAATTAAACTTTGAATTATTTATTATCCTTTATGTGTGATGATACGATGCGTGACAACATATTTTATCGAATTCTGTGATGAATGAGTCGGTCAACCAATCATTTAGCTGAGCGAGCTGTCACACTAACTAGCCACTATTTTTAGTAGCCAATATTATATTATCGTTACTCCTTAGTACTTCTGTCGAATTAAGTCGATCGAGTCACAATCTAGCAATACGGTTAGACATTGCATACACCATGTTTTTGATGTTAAAACTGTAGAAGTAACCTTTAGAAAGGACATCTTTGATCTAAACTCCACATTAGTTGGGATTTATCAACAAACAGTACCTGTAATTTTGATGAAGCTGATGCTGGCAATAGTGTTTTGAACGTGTATCACGCAGATAGCTTCGTCCACTATTAACCTTCGTCTTTTCTATAATTATGAGTGTTTGAAATGTTGTAATTCTTAGCTATCATAATATTTATATCACCGTTTATCTCTTCTTCTTTGTGATTAAATTAATATCGTAATTTATTTAAAGAAAAATAAAATGCTTCCATGTATTTCCCCTACTTTTCTCACTTATATTCACTTTGATCAAGCCATTTTTTGATCTCTCTTTTTTTGTCGACATCATTCTTCAAATTGTCGATTACACAGTGTCACTCTCATGGGAAAAAAGTTAATTTGGATAATTCAAATCAGTTCAATAGCTCCGAATTAAAAGTTGTAGATGGCACGATGAAAAGTTCTGGTCAGTTTTGTATATTCGTAAATTACACCTTTTATTTTCTTGTTATACATGTTTACTTTTTTAAAGTCAAATTAGCCTTGTTTATGTATGTGTATGGTATTTGACAATAATTATGTATATATACCGGTGATTTCAACTGGCTTTGTTGTTGTGGTTGCTTCTGAAGACTTCTTGGTTCGAAATTAATCACATATGTATAAAGTAGCCTTTATAGAGCTTCTGACGGTCCCGAGCCTTCATAAAGAAGGAAGGTTGGGCATGAGGTTAACAACCCCATCCTGTAAAAATTAACCTTGCTAAAAACGCCAGCCAGAAAGCATCATTTGAACCATTTAAACTCTCCACTGGGAGTCGAAGGGCTTTCATATATAAGAGTTATGACGCCTTATTTTGAAAGTCGAAATTCTGCGAACGTCACAAGTCTGATGTCTCGAAGCAACCAAATCAACAACTAATATAAGTATATAGAATGTCCAGACAGTCTAGGCCAGACTGGAAGGACCATGGTTATTGCAACTGATAATATTCAGTCCGTGATGATTTTCTTTTCTTAAAACTCGGTTGTTGTACATGAAAGATGGTATAATCTGAGTATTTCTTTTCCTCAACATGAATTAATTTAGTTTTATAGCATGTGGTCAGACTTTCGAGTCAAGTATTTATTGTATCAACCCAGGATCTTCAGTCTCAAGTCGAGCACTTAACCTCTGAACCACTGGTTTTTCATCCAGTGGTGTTCATGTCTAACTCCCATTGCCCGTGGTGGATAACCGTTTTACAAAGACATAATAAATATAGTTCAAACATTAATTCTTTTTTGCTACTTATATCTGTTACAAGTTCAGATTCCCATCACAAAATAGAACGCAAAATTCTTTTTCATTTTTACGTAACAATTATATGAAAAATCTAATTAGATATTTATTATCTACAAGTGTTTCTTTTCTCATTGGTCATAATAACATGTTAATACTACATATACTCATTACTTACTTTACTATATTTGCTAGTTAATCAGTCATAGCGTATAAGCCGGCACATATATCCATCGGCTCAAGTTCTCACAACATATCAGAACGGCAAGATGAAATAATCAAGATGAGTGTCGATGTAGAAGAACTAGTATAGGCGATTGTAAAAAAGATCAAGCATAGAAGATACTAATTGAAAAGGGCAGAATGAATTCATTAAATAGATTGTATAAAATACAGTTGAAACTCAAGGTATAAGGTAAAACAAGGTGTGAATAAATCTGCGCTATTGTGACTGATTTTGAGTCGTATTACCCAACATCTGTAACCATTAGCCATGATAATTGACTTTACACCTACCAACAGGCTTCAGATTAATGGAGACAAACTCATGAACTGATCTAACGTCTTGATTTGGTTGTTTTTAGTTTCATGACAACCTATTCCTACACCGAAAAACTTCGTGCATCCAGATGGTCTACCATCTTCGCCTAGTACTCTACATCTGACCTCAATATTGCTCATTCGGTAGTCCCAACATACGCATCTAATTGATGATGATTATTTATCAGTTGTCATCGATTTTCACTTCTGAACCTTACTGTCCTCAAATTTATTTGGTTAAATTTTATCTTTTTTCTATGCTATTTATTTATTTTTACTTTTCTTGCTTATAAATCATTAGGACAACTGAGAAAATCTGAGTCTGGACAAAATAAGAACACAAACGAAGTAAGTTTATTTCCATATGTACCTGAATAAATCCATATTTTGATATTATTGTCGTCATCATCATTAGATTACTCTCTAAACTCAACATTTTTCTGTTTAAGTATTCTTAACTGCTGATCGATTAACTGAAATCAATGATCAAATACTTAAGATAACTGGAAGTATTCAATTGTTCCAGTTTTTTTTCTATCCTTTAAATTTAGTGTAATTTTCCTGTTGTCGATTGTTATGCAATTTATAATTTCGCAAAAAGATTTTTGATCATATATTGGTGTACTTTAACGAACAAATAAAATTAAACTTGGTCACATATACAGATAGATACACTTTTATTTTATTATTTTTTTTTATTATTAGAAGCTTTATTCAACATTATATTTTTGGTACAACATAGAATTCTCAGCATAAAATATTTCAACAAGTTTCCTTTTCTTATACCTTGATCTATTGTGACGATAAATTTTGAATGATGACCGGTTAGATGTTAGGAACTCGGTAATCCACATTTGATTAATGTTCATTCGTTTCAATGCATATTGCCAGCCACCATGATGTCGTTGATTGTACCTTTTTTGTATCATGTATAGCCAAAGGTTGTAAACTTTTCATAAACGCGCCTGAATAAATTGTGCACACAATAGACATAATGATGTGCTAAAACAAACAACAAAACAGATAACTTGATGAAATATCTAGATCAGAGGAACAGGTAGCCCAGATATTCAAGCAGGCCGCCGTGAATTGTGAATTTTTACTGAAGATATATATATATATATATATATATTTCTAACATGGAATATCAAGCTAATAATGTGTAATAGCGAGAATAGATAATAATTATTCAAATGTTTTAATAAAGCTTTAGGAAACATTATCTAATCCTTATCATGACTTGTATATATTCTTTGATATTGAGAATTATAGTATTACCTAATACTAACTTGGTACATGATTTGCATTCCATGCATTATTTGACATCATCTCCGTTACACTGAGATTTGAAACACATTATTGTAATCCGTTACAAAAAAATACTACAATCATTTTACTGAGCTATATCGTTGGAGGGAAACAACTTTAACGTATTTATCTCACTTGTTAATATCCATCAGCAAAGTTTTCGTGCACTACCACTGACTGAACTGATACCTTCTTAGACCTCGAACCCCGCATCATCTTATGTTTCAGTTATTACTAAGTACCAACTATTTAGGCCACTGACAGAATTTAATCATTAATGAAGTCTGAACATAACACAATATTGGTCATTCATACTCAGTGAATGATTGATACAGTTAATTATCATCATAATAGTGGTTAACTTGACAATCTCAAAGTTGTCGATCACCACGTTATAAAATTATGTTTAACTGACCTTTTTTTGTCTTATGTTCTTCTTGATTAGTGGTTTAGTGTTTAGGGCTATATAGGTTCCTGGTTCGAATCTACATTCAAAAAAGCGTGGATTAAAGTCGATTACATAAACTCGTATTTGATAAATGAGTTACATTTTTAACATTCATTAGTGTGATTGAAATTTTTTTGTAATTTTGTTCCGATTTCCCTATAGCAGGAAAGTGTACTTCGTACGAACTTAAAAAACGATAAAGATTTGTCAATATCTAATGAAAATATAATTATACTACCTACAGATGATGATGCCCTGGAAAAATTTCTTGAAGATAGCTAATAAAAACAAAACTCCAAATCGTCTTTCTTTTGTGCTCCTTTAAGTGGAATCCTAACTTTCATCCTTAATCTTTTGTACAAAGAAATTAAATATACCTTTCCTATTCTCACATTGGATGCTCCTATTATTCCTAACGTTATTTATTTAATTTTATTCAAATGATTACAATCCAACAAAATAGTATGCAGAATGAAGTTACTCTGGAATCGATAATATATTTAAATTGATTAAGAATTTCTCCGGAAATTTGTTTGCTATGCTGATCAAAATGATAAACAAGTGCCAACTAGCATGAAACCTAGGTCGTACTCTAGCATTATAGTGATATTACAAGCAGAAACGAAAAATATTTTCATTCAACCGTTGTATCCCATTAGTTCAAAACAGTAATTAGTGAGAATGCTAAATACTCTCTTATTAAGTTCGAAATATCATGCCGAATATGAAAGCCATGAGATTCGGAAATCTTTCGAGATGTTTGCAAGAATACTGTATCACGTTAACAAAAGTAGTAGCAGACTCGTTCCGATAGCTGATGGTCTCAATTTACGAAGTGAAATTGATTGTCACTAGTAGAGTTTAACAAACATCGGCTGCACGAGTCCACTGATCCTACCTTGACCCCCCTGTCGTGATTCTGACCACAATAACACCTGTGTATCACAATATTCATATGGTATTATATGCCTTCACTGAGATCTTGTCTGTTAGTTGGGCCTCAATCAAGTTAGCTTCATTAAAAACTTATACTTGATCCTGTAGTCAGTCGTCATCTGTACTGACAACAACCATTGACATTCACCAAAGTTGACTACCTCATGCGACTTTATGATCAATGAGTTTACGATAATGATAACTTTCTGCCAACTCAATATGAACCGACCTATCCGTAAAGATCTTTAGCGTGAGTAAATTGGCACAGCGAAATCCTTCCAATCTTAAGATAGGAAAACTGTTAATAAACTTTAAAAGACTACTTAACTTTTAGCAAGTCTCATTACATAATACTATCGATTTACATAGGCTCTGCTCATTGGTTGAAAAACGGCTTCAAAATCAAGCAGTCATCTTATGAATTATATAACTACGTCTCGATACTAGAATAATATACGGAAAACTGAAAAATATAGAAGATTCTATACAAAATTCATTCGGAGTATAAACAAGAAGTTACCTACCGAGGTCGCATAATTAACTTGAGAACAAATATTGAACAGATTTAATTACATTAGCCAGCTAAGATTGACTAAAATAAATAGGGTTCATTAAGAACGCCTCGTTTGTAATTTCTTTTTAAATCTCAAATAGGAGAATCCCTTTGTTATTAAAAAAGACAATGACAAAGCATATCTGTACCGAAAATTCACTCAGTTAAAAATTGAAAACTAACTATGGCAAAAATCATCGTTAGATGATGGTTGGCAATAGTCAAACGGAAACCCTATACTATTTGAATTTTGTCAACAAGGTATATCTGCAACCTTGAAGAAACTGGTGCTTTCTGGAGAATTCGATTTCTTGACACTATGCTCCACGGTCGAAGACCACCACTAAGCTTTTCGGATCACGACTAACTTCCTGTAGGACTGAGATATACTTACAATTGATTGGTCACTGAGCATTGACCAGTATCATGAATGCCAAGTCCCTCTAACATTCCAATATAGTGCATGTAGAGTCACTTAAACTAGTAGCTACATCATAACTTGATCGATAAAAGTCGATCAGCGTTGAGAAAGACCTGACATCCATGCTATCGGTCAATGCTCAGTCATTAACTAATTGTAAACATACCATAGTAGCTGTCATTTAATCTATTGAAGTCAATCATTACAGCTGTTAACACATATGACATGATGAATAAGAACTTTTTATGCGGGGAAAACTATTTTACTAAGATTACCACCTTTATACTAATTCATTTTCTTTTGAATTAACTAACTCCATTATTTCTGATAAAAGCATTAGTCAACCAACTAATTAGTTCATCTTGTTTTACAGTTGGAAGTTCCATCTATTCTATTACCAGTAAGTTATAGCAGTGGTAGCAGTAATTGATGAACAACAGTACAGAATCAGTAACTTGAAATTAATTCAAAGGTTGTCAGTAAAAATCCTACTTCCGATTCTTGATACATACTACTTACATCTGTCCGTATAAGTAGCACACACTTTCTATCAGAACAATAAGCATAGAGGTATGTAATAGAAGTCAAAATATACACTACAAAAATTTATTGAAGAAAAAAGGCAATTAAATAAAATGAGACAAATTCCACATGCTGTCGTTTTGTTATTGTTGTTCAAAGTCGTTTTTTTTAGAAAGAAAATCACCCAAAGTATTTTGTTTTATTCCTTATTACCATTTTTTTAGTGAATATTTGTTCTGGTTTGTTTTAATTGGGATTCGAAAGAAAAGTGTGTTTATCAGAGACAGTGAGAGAGTAATATTATAATGTAAATCAAAACAGTACGGGAAAGAATAAACACCGACAGTCTCAACGGAACAAAATATCGCATTGTCTTCACAGAAATTCATGTATATACGTGTGAATTTTTTAGTACGGGTTTACTACCGATTGATCAGTTATTTATGTAATTTTCTAGATTGATAATAAATGAATAGAGAAATAAAAAGATGAACACACGCAGAGCACAAAGAAAGTTGTTTGTTTGTTTATTTTTATTGTAGTTTGTAATTTCATCATCCATATATGCAATCAATTAAATAGTGGATGAGAACATAACAATATCGTCCATGCAATAACAAAACCTTATTCATGTGTGTAATGATCGATTACATAGAGGGAATAATCAAAAAATTGGTAGGTTTTATCAAAGAAAAAAGGGAGGAAAGAGAGAGATGGTGCCGAAGACAAGAAAACTAACAAACAGACACAAATACATAAATATATATATATATATATATCAAATGAAAAATAAATGGTTTATTTCATCAATAAAAAAAATCAGAAGATTAAGGCACACAATACACTGTTTTGTAATTTAGTGATTCCTGTCCAAGGAAACCAATTTATTTATTGAGTGTAGACAAAAAGATGGTGTGACGACAACTAACAATAACAATGAATGTATCCAACTCCGTGTTCAGGGTATACAAACGAAAAATAACAGTACAGATTGCCGCCAATAACCACATAGATGTTTAAATTTCTTCTTCAAATAATCGTTGCCTAGTATTGGACAATCCACTTTGCGCAATCTTTATTCGTTATGAAAATGCAATCAAAAAGAGAGAATTACAAGTAGAAAATCCAATCTTTGTATGCACTAACAACAAAATATTAGTTAACTTTGCTAAATCCATCTTTATAAGTTAACAGTAAGTAATAATTTGGATGTAATTTTTATTGCACACAAAATATTGACATTACCTATAGCTCAGGTAGTAAGTAGTAGTAGTTCAGGACGTTATTGACTAATCCTAGAACAAAAACTTACAGTATTTACTTACAGATAAATTTTTCGATGTTCTGATGAAAAGCCATGATTTTACAGATGGTCAACTTAGTGGATAATTAGATAACGATGCATTTCTTAAGATGTTAAATGGAAATTGTGGTATATAACAGAACAATAAAACTGTAAAATGTGAAGTCATTTAGGTTCCAATACAATATCCTTACTGGTCCACTGAGTTGGATATGGTAATTGAAGATTACTGCTGTGATCTCATGTGTAGAGGTCGATGTGTGATGATGCACCACTGATGTAGAAGTCGCGGAGACTATGACAACGCTTGTTATCTTCAATGATTATTTTATCTTGACATCTGTTAGTTAATGATGAGAACTATCCTTGAGGTGCATAAAATTTTCACAAAATTTGCTTATTTATACCAAAAATGAATTCTAAAAAGAATAAAACTAACTAAGCACATTACATATAAAACTGATTGAAAAAAGATATATGAATGACTGCCAAATCCTAGTAGAATAGCTTCTTCGCACAAAATAAAAAATAAATGAATGCCGGTGGTTACTAATGATGAATGTAAAAATGGAAGTTCATTCAAAAGTGATTAAAAACAAGGCAAAATACAACTGGATTCCATAATTTAACCTGAAAACGTTACATTAAAACATGAAGGAAAGGGAGACAAGGTGGAATTCATGAATTCTACGGATCAAACATAAAGCAAAGAAAGCCCATATACACAAATAAATCAACTCCCCTTCAAAGAAAAGACCCATGAAACTAAGACCAATCATATATATATATATATATATATATATATATATATATATATATATAATTTGCGCACAGAAAAAGTGTATCTCTTTGCCTAGATCATCAATCATTAAATCTAATAGCATTATCTAACTTTGTCTACTATTACTGATACTGTCATTACTTCCACTACACTGAGATTTACCTAGATAATTTCATCTCTCTCTACGAACATAGTTTGGCAACACATATATACGTGCCAGATTCTATGTTGCATATGACTAATTGATTTCAGATAGTTTATTAAGCTATAGAAATCCAAGGAAAATTGAAGAACAAATAAACACTTTTCAATATAATTTGATATTAATATAATATGACTACACTATATGAAATGGGTATTAACTGATCAGTAACATTCTTTTACGTTATTTATCAAGAAATTTCCTTTCATTATTACAGAATTAATAAAGCATAAAAATCAATTTTAATTCTTAATTCGATAAAATCACACATGTTGACTGACATGAGTAAAATGTTTCAATAAAAAAAACAGAAAAATTAAACTTACAAATTCATTTGCTTTGGAAATCAAATAATCACATGCTTGATCAACATTTTCTGGTGCACCCGTTACTAATACTGTATTACCGTCTCCATTGGCGCTATTGATATTTCGTCTACTAGGGAATTCAATGCGTACATTGTAGTCTCGCATGACTTTCTGAATAGCATTACCTCTAGCACCGATCAGTCGAGCATGTGTCTAAATGTTAAAAATAGATTTTTTTTAATAAAGGGATATACGCAAATAAAACTTTCATCACTTTGTAGCATTCCAGATTTACAACATTAGGTAGTTGGAGGTAGCCGACAAGGAACCCTGAACCTAGGATTTTAGTGTTAATCGACACTTGCAATCTTGAGGGAACTAGTGCTCCCTGGCGGATTCGACCGTGTAAAACATGACCTTTGAAAGTAGAAGTCAAGCGTAAGCGACAGGTTTCTGAATGCAGGTGTCGATGCTAGGTGAAGAGTACTAGGAAAAAGTGATAAATTAGTCGGTGAGTTGATGAATCTTCATCGAACGAGGTAGTTAGGACATGTGTTACGTAAGCCTAGTCACCGTGTAACTCGACGGACAACGTC